TGCGGCTGTACTGTCAGAGTATATGCCTTGACCGGGCCTACCTGAAACACCACCGTGTGGCGTCGCCCAAGCGGCATCACCAACATGGCTGCCATTCCAATCTCTGGAACGTCTCGTCGAACTATCATTCTCGCAAAATATTCATCCCATTCAGCCGCCTCTTGTTGAGGATGAGGGGATTCTTGATCTTCCTCGTAAAGCTGCGATGGGCTTTCAAGGATCTGCCGCATCGAATTCAGGCGCAGAGAACCCGCTTCCTGCTCCCTTCGGTTAACCCGGACAATGGCGTCGCCGGGGCTTAATTGCTCTTGCCACTCTGCAGCCAGCAAACCCGTGACGTCGGTTATGGATTGCATGGAAACTTCCGGACGGATCAACAATGAGGACGCCGGCAGCGTTGTGTCCACCACAAACTGCAGCCGCGTCATGCAAGATCCACAGCCGGAAAATCTGTAGCAAATCCGGCCATCGTGTTCCAGAGAGCCGTCCTGAAACCGATCTTGCACGTTTATCCAGCCTTCATCTTCGGTCGCCTCTGTAATATGAATGAAGAAATCCTCGATGTCAATGCTTGGGGTCAGCTCATCTAGTGCGGTCATGTTCGCCGACGATTTCCCAACTTGAGAAAACAAGCAACGCAGAGACACATCAACTGCACCCTCCCGGAGTGGAATTGCCATGATGTATGACCCAAAAAGCAGATCCAAAAAAGGATGAAGCTCTTCAACACCGGAAAGGAGACAGGCATGTTGCACAGAGCGTGCTGGGTTAAATTTGAAAACTTTCCTGCTGCAATCTTCTTTGCAGGCTGGTATTGCAAGCTAACCGGCACTTGCCAAGCAGTCTTCCGTGACTTGCTCACAACAGCTGCGCCTGGGAGAACAGATTCTCCTCGAAGAAGCGAGCCTTCACGACGCGCCCTCCGAAGTATCGTCCGTTCATGTCGGTAAAGGCCTGTCAGGCGGTGTTTGTTGTGAAGACGAGGCACAAAACCACTGAACGGAAGCAGTCAAGCCTTCGTGGCGGCCGCCACATCCTCGTATTCGAGGAAGATGCGAACTGCCTGATATGTCAGAACCAGCAATCACGTCTTCCGAACAGCGGACCCGGCTGCCTGATCATCCGGTTTTCCTTTGAGCTCCTTTATCACACACCTGGGCTACATTGATTTTGCAATCAAAAGCCAAGCAATCACCGGCAGGCTGATGCATGCCTGAACCGCAGAGGAATCATACCTACTGCCTCTATCGGAAGCTTGGCTGACGTGGCCTGCGGCAAGTACTAGTACATCTAGTGCTTCAATGCATTCCCAAGTGGAAGCGAACATCCAAACAGAGCCCTGAACAGCAGATTGCGACTGTGGAGAATCCGGGCACGACAGCACCCTGGGCGGAAGACCCGGATGTTTGGATGGGCAGGATTTGAACCCGCGGGATCCTACACCTCAAAACCAAATCGTGTGGCCAGGCAGGGTCTCGAGCTCTGGAGATTTTAGGATTTGGGCCGGGCACAAATAAGCGCCTGAAGGTATAACCACGCAGCGGCTTACACGGTTCTGCGACGGGTGCGAAGCGGATCCACCACCACCGCCACCAAGCAGAACCAAGCTAATCAGATCGGCCGAGGGCCGAGACCGATCCATTAAGCCACTGTCGGAGCGGCTACGCAGGATCGGTGATTCTGGACATGGGTGACGATGTTACAAGCCAAAAAGGGTGTTCGTCGACAAACCTGAGCCCTTTCAGGGAGATGTTGTATCGGTTAAACGGAGACGCTGCTCCTAAAAGAAGATGGATGGTAAACCTCCAAATCTCAAAAGCAGATTTGGTGGCAAGCCCGGAATCTCACGAGGAGATGATGGTTGGCAAAGCCGAAAGCTAAACAAGAAACTGATCACGAAACATACTGGGCTTGCAGGTCTAAACTCCCCGGCTTGGAAGCGACCGCCTCGCAGCCACAGCTCGGAGACTCCAACAGTCTCTTCTTTGAGGGCTTAGGGGTTTAAGGTTTAGGGTTTAGGGTGTGGGGTTTGGGGCTTAGGGTTTAGGGTGTTTAGTCTGAAGGTTTAGGGTTTGGGGTTTTTAGTCTGAAGGTTTAGGGCTTAGGGGTTAGATTTTGGGGCTTAGGGACTTTATTCTGAGGGTTTAGTCTCCAAAACTCTTTTTTGGCGAGACAAACCCTAAACCCCAACCGAAGAGCTTGGTTGGCAAACCCCAAAACGGACTGCCTGCATGGGCTGTCTGCCGATTCGCGGCGGCGAGCGGGGTCATACGGCAAGAATGCCATCTGAACTCTTTGATCAACTCGAGCAGCTTTGAGAGCACGAACCGCAGCCAGAGTACACTCCTCTTACGATAAGGGTCGCTTTGAGAACTTATCGACTCGCTCGGAGCTCCTTCATGAAGAAATCAGGATGGATCATCCTGTTGGCCGCCCAACCATCCTCCATCCAGTTCTCCATTGACATGGAGACCTTGGCAGCCCCGAACCGGGCACCGTTTGTTTGCCGCTCGACTTTTGTATTGGCACGGCTTGACAGTTGGGCCACACCCCCGATCTGACAGAGCGAGGACGTACTTGATGAAGATTTCCGTGCTTCTCCCTGTCCCAGTGCGAAAGCAGTGTTTGATGGTGCGGAAGCATTCACACTATCGAACACGATCGCCCGAACACTGTTCATCTCGAGAGAGGCGATCCATCCTTGGGGTCGCCGGAGATCGCGGTGTACCTGCCGCAACGATCGACTACGGCTTTGAGCCAGATGCCCCACTTGCCAGCCTCGCCTGCTTCCTGAGCTTTTTCCTTGGCTAGTATCGATCGCCCTTGGCCGCTTAGCGCGAGGAAATGGCACGAGCTGGCGATCGCCGGCACGTTCGGCTTCAAGCGGTGAGCGTCCGCTTGCCAAAGAACTGTCCGCCAACCCAAAGCCCAGATCAGTGGGCACGACCGATCGATGATTCTCTTCACGAGCGTGGACAGCAGCTCGATCCGCGAAACCCACCTCAAAATCTCCTCAGCAGACTTCTTCATTGTAGGCGCATGGAGACCCACCTGACGATCGCACGTGCAATAAGAGACCACAGGCAAATGTGTGCAGAACAACGTTGGGATCTAGCGCACGGAGAGGATCGCTCGGCTCTCCCTCGTCCCGCACAAATCGGAAGATGCCAAATCGGCGAGTGCGGCTGTTCTGCCGGCTGATCCAGAATGCTGCAAGCCGGATCGACGGCGCGACCGCCCAAATCTTCAAGGGCCGTCGCACTAAGTTCCGAGCTGCAGCAACGAGCGTCACTCACTCGACCGCTTGATCCTGCTGCCATGCCGGAGACGGACCAGCAAGGTTCCGAGCTGGAGGGCGGTGTGGAGCGAATGACCTCGGAGCCGAAGTAGGGGTGGAGCTGCTGGCCGCCATGATCTCCGGCCCCGTCTCCTCCACCCGAACGGTGCTGACCCGCTTGAACTGCTGGGCCTCGTGGGAGTGCAGGACCTCGGTGACCTCGGTGAACACCTTCGGAGTGATGGCCGCCGAAGTGCGAGAGAAGCGCATGTCGGCCTGCATGTGGTTATGGAGTGTTGGTGAGCGCTTTGGTTGCATCATCATGCTCAGTGAACTCGCTCTCCGGGATCACCCGAACAGCTGAAATCCACTGATCATACAGCTGCTGGGCCGAAGCAGGAACATTGGCGATTGCCGATGAAGCGGACGCACCGTGCTCCCGAACGGCAAGTTGCGCTGCCTCCTCCATGATCGCAGGAGGTCCACTGTGAGCTTCCACGGCCAGTCCAGTGAAGACTGAGATGACGAACGACGGCCTGAACCATCCTGCATTCGCCGACCTGATCAGGACCACATCGCAGAACTGCTGCTGGACTGAAAGGTCAGAGTCCGAGCGGTATCCTCGGAACACCCAATGGAACAGGACCTCGTTCCCATTGAAGACCTTCACGTCCACGTGCATGGCAGAAGTGTCGAACATGACAGGCCAGGTGAACGGCTGAAAAGCCGAATGAGACAGGCCGAACTGGCATGGGAATCCCACTGGGCGCAAAGCCCTCCGGTCCTGGACGACATGGTGAACACCAACACAGCCTTAATGCCGTTGAGCGTGTAGCTCGCGAACGGGAGCCAGAATTCGGTTTGATCCCGCTTCGTAGGCACATGATGGAGCTCGCGGCATTGGACATGATCTCGTCCACGAGCCTGGAACGGGCTGATCAGCCGCTCGTCCCTGTTACCGACCACCAACAAGGAGTTGCCAGTAGGATCCTCCGCTTCTATCACCACCTGCTCCACAAACTCGGGCTTCTGTGCCGCGAACGGTTGTGAGCGGCAGGTGCGGCCCGATTTTATTTTCGGCGGCGACGATCGTCGCGGCCCGGCCCCAGTTGCTTCCCGTCGCCAGAGGCCGCCGGAGGAGCCGCCGGCTTCTCTGGGGCCTGAGCTTGCCTGGGCCTGTAGAGCCCCCATTGACCAGCATCTGCAGCTGGGGAGCTCCGGAGCTGTGGCCCTGATAAGGACCTGCTGCGGGTAAGCACATTGCTGCAAGTCGAAGATCTAACTTCCCCACGCCGACGATCGAAAATCCGGGCCGATCGGCTAATCGCCAAAATGGCCACGGGAGTCAGTCATCACGGTTGCTCTTACGATCGTGAAAACTGACCTCCTAATCCCTCACCCACCAGACCGATAATGATAATGAGGACACAGATATAGATATAGGGATAGATCTAGATCTAAGTATAGCTACAGTTATATATACATCTAGATATAGATTTTGTTACAGCTATAGTTATAGAGACAGGACCTGCTTCTTCACAAGGCGGGTGCAAGCACTGCTGTGTAGCAAGCCAGAATCAGAGCACATCGCTTTGAACGAGGTTGATTTCTGCACACACACACACACACAAGCAACTCGTTCCGACACGCTTACATCTAACATGCTGCATGAGTGTGTCGCTCGATCATGTTAGACAGCTCACGAACATTGCGTCCGGCAATGCTACTGGCATGTGGGCTCCCACACCATAACACTGATCACGCTGCAGCAGGCATCTGCAAATCGCCGTGTAGCTCGTTCACAATCTCTTGAGCTGTTTCTTGATTGAGGGCTCGGCTTCTTGAGTTTGCCATACTTGCTGGCCTCCTCAGCCGTCTCCTCCTGCAGGTCCTCTGCAGCTGGAAGTGGCTAGGGCGGCTACGGCTAGGGCACACCAAACTACAGGTGAAGGACGAGGTGCCTCGTCCACGTCTCCAGCACCGACCATGTTGGTCAGAAGAAGCACGCGGGTCGGTGGCCTCGATGCCAAGAGCAGCCCGCAGAGCATCCAAGAAAAGATATGAAAGACACAGCCTCACTAACCGAGCCCACGGCAGCTTCGGAGACGCTTTGGCCTGGCAAACGCCGGTTCGCATCATGGCTGCCCAAATCTCTTCCCGGGGGCCTGCTTCGACTCCGGCTGGCCTGCAGGCGCCGCCGTCGCCTCCCGCAGCTCACAGCTCGCAGCTCGGAATTCTGCCCCCAGCTCCTTGGATGTTCCGCGGTCGCCTCGCGCTTCACACCCTCGACGATGCGACCCGTCTTCTGGTCAGTTTTTTGCATGACCTGGCCCAAGAAGATTAGCACGTGGTTCAGCCAGTGATGGATGCATAAGTCTCAGGATCTGACAAGCGGGTTCACCATACCCTGACCCTCTTTTCCAAGTCCAGCACCATCCTTCCAACCTGCAGCAAGTAATTGCATGTATCGGATATATCGGTGCCGGTTGATGATCTCATGGCTGAAACACACTGAGCGCTAGGACCCATCTTCTTCATCATTTTCGTTGCAAAATCCTCCTGGAACTGGCTTGACTCGCTTATGCGGCTTTTCAGCACAGCTGTGCCCCTGCGAGTGCTGCCAGTCCTCCTTTGCTTGGGGTGCCTTGCTGGCCTGCTGTCGAGCAGCTGCCTCCTCAGTGGCCCATGATGATCACACAGCGCATCTCAGGCGCTGCTGCCGCCGCGGCTTGGCGGCGCTTTTCCATTTCCTCTTCAGCTTTCTGGCGCATCCTTAGGCTGCGACAGCCCGATTCCCGAGCCGTTAGCCAACGACAAATCCTTCTACCTTTGACCGGCCTCCTTCTGCAAAACTCATCGTAGTCATTCGGTTTGGCGGGGTCGTATTCCTGCGGCTACAGTAGTTGCATGTTCTGCGGGCTTCGCAGGGTACCATGTTACGCAATCCTCATTCGGATCTCCGAACAAACTTGCAACCTCAAGACATTCAAAGAGCCGAAAGACGGAGATCACCTATGAGCTTCTTGCCGGCACTTACTGCAAGAGCTGAATGCGACAAACTTGACACAAATGTCGACAGCTTGCCCAAGCGCGAACAGGGTGCAATTGGCTCGCTCAGCGGAGCTGTTGAAGCGACCTCATTCGGATCATCTGAGATTTGTCTTTGACCGTATCAAAACACGGCATACACAACAGATCTATCAAGCGATTTGCTCATAAGAGCCCTTCTCTGGTGGCGATCTTATCAGCTTGGGCACCGGCTGCTGCAGAATCGGTTTCAACCGGCTTCGCCTGGGAGCATCGAATTATATGTTCAACATATTCGTTGCTGCAAACCAGCACTGACTGTAGAGGTCGACGCCACACTGGATACACTGGATGCAGCCGAAACAGCCTGCTCAGGATCCAAAAACCACATGTTGAATACTTCGGCAGAAAATCACTACCGCAGGACTGCCGAAGCAGCATCCCACGAAATGCGGAGAATCACTGCAAACTGCACGGTGGCTGCCTTGCTGCTTGTCTCTGCCGCTGCACGCTGTTTCATAAGCGCCTCCTTTTCCTTGGTGAGATGCAAAACGAGAAGCCGACTGTTTGGGTTTGGGTTGCTGCGGAGCGGACTGCCGCAAGCTTGGAGAGATCCAAGGCTGGCATGGATGGCCTCCTTGCTGGCTCCACCTAGACAAAGCGGTGGCCCACACCGCTTCCAAGGAGCACCCGTACACATCTGCAAACAAATCACAATGCGAACACGCACACAACAAAGTCTCCACAGGAAACACAGATGTAGATCGGCGCATCTTCAACTCGTTGTCCGGCTCTCAGCCCCCCCTACCCGTCTGCTTTCCAGCCTTCTTCCGCACAGGCGGCATCATCAGCTTTGCAGCCGAGAATGTCTGCAAAAGGCATCCAGGAGGCAAACCAAAGAGTTTTCTACACCCATGCCTGTGGCAGGGGAGTACTGCTCGGCGGGCCCTTCTCCTTTGTTGCAGTCTCGAACACCATCTCTGCACAAATAACGGGAGCAACACTAAGAAAGCCAATAAATGTACATATCCAGCGAAGTAATTCTTGTTTAAACTCAATCTGGTCATGCAAACACAACAAACAAGCTTGCTGCCAAAATGAGCATCGCGCCCCCGTGCCTTGTCGTCAGTCACTTTCTTCTCCGTCGGCAGCTTCTCCACAGGGTCTGCCGTGCCACCGTCCGAAGATCGGGAGGGGGCTGCACCCTGCCAAATTCAGCTTTTTCACCATTCTGCACTATGTCAGCATCGCCTTCTGTATTTCCTCCCTCTTTATGGACTCTTTTGCCTTTTTTGACTGCTGGCACAAGACACGAACCCACGAAGAGCTGCGCGCACCATTCAGGCATGCAGCCAAAGAAATCGCCGACTCACGAGACGGGCCACCTTGGCAGACCAAAGCAGAAATCAACGAAGTCCCGGCGTGCACGCTTAGTCCAAGCCCAAGCCAAGAATCTGAATCTGCTCGTGTGAACTCTGATTTTGAAGGCTCTCCTCAGTTCTAAGGATTCTCTGACTTCTTACATCTTGGCCACGTACTGGATGCTCTTGACTTTTGTCCCTTGTCCTGAGGCACTTGCGGCTGGTGCATGTCGCCTCCAAAACTCCTCTGAGAGTTTGGGCGTGTGCTTCTCCGGCAGGGCCAGATCTCCTAAACCTCGCATAGATATACCAAGCGGATGCAAGCTGCCTCCCACAGCTTTCCTTCGAAAAGCTTCCCCACCACCAGGTTTCGCCAAAAACTGCTGGTGCTCTTCTTCAGCGACATAGAAAACGTCACCCGGAAACGTATGAAAGCTGGAAGCGGCCAGGATTTCAGTTGCAATCGTGCAGCCTGAACGTTTTCCTGCACGCTCCAGAAACGCCTGGTACGCTTGCCGGCTAATTTCCATGATCTCCTGTTGCTGCGTGTTGAAATAGTACAAGCCACTACGGAACTGAAGCCCATTTGCTGACGTATGGCATGCCGTGGGATCGTGTGACTCCCAGAACCATCGCAGCAGGTCGATCAAGCTGATGATACCTGGACAGTCTGCATGATGCACGACATGAGACGCAGTTTCAAGATATCCAGGATCGAGGGAATCAAAAGCAAAAAAGAAGCCGAGTGCCTGGATCGAAGATCACTTGCACGGCCTGGGCAGCCCCTGTGCCCTCACTGCAGACTTCATCGTATGTAGGGTTCGGTGTATATCCAGCAGCATAGCCAGCAGATGTGCTATACACGCCGGGGAGTCGCCAGGCACCCCGTTCTGCTTGCCAGAAGCACCCACATGCAAAAACAAATTTCTGCATCCCTTCGGGATAGGGCCCATGCAAGGGCGTCTTTAAAACAAAATGTGATGTTGTAAGCTGGACAGCGTGACGACGACCAGGCAGCGCGCTCGTTGGGCCAACTGTCGGCATCCGCTGCGTCTTAGAACCTTCTTGAAAGGATTTCGTCGTGCTCCTGCTAGACCCTCGCGGAGGAGTGGCTGGCGGTGGCAGAGGAGGATCCTCGTCAGGAAAAGTACCTGACGAAACTCAGCACCGCTGAGCAACCTGCAAGTCCCTCAACCTGTCTCCTGTTGACTCTTGACATCTATTGACAACGACTTGAATAAAACTGAGCGCAGCACCTCTACTTGCTTCGTCGCCATGGGCGGTCAGTGACTCTGGAGCCTCCAGTTTCTCGATTGGCTTCCTTGTTGCCTCACTCTTCTTGTGTTTTGCTGCGTCTTCAGTTGCCTGCTCCGCTTCGGTGCGACCATAAAACGTGCCAGGCAATGTGGCATCGGATTCCCATCTCCGAGATTCTTCCGGAGACTGCTCCAATGCTTCAGCATGGAAACTCTTGCGTTCAGTGGGCAATCCGTCGTCATAGACGGTGATTACTCCTGGGCTCACTGAGTCACACTCGGCCTCTCGCTGCACGCAGCTGCAGTGAACGGCGCCCATTTCGGCAAACTGCCGGCTGCATTGCGTCCATTGTCAAAACCTTCTGACTGGATGGTCCTGGCGTGGGAGCTTATGTTAACGACGGCGCATGACTAGTCTCTGTTTGTCCACACTGCTTGAGGCTGCGGCAACACACAGAGGGTTCTTGGCAAGTAAGCACATCTTGCGGTGCCACGGTACAGAAAGAAGCACATGCCCTGCACCACCAGCCTTGGGTTCTGCAAATATATCATCTTCCTTTCGTGTCGCACCCTCACCTGCATCGGAGCCTGCAATGCTTCGCTTCGAGCATTCTCTGCGGGCTCAGGCTCAGGGCTCAGGCCGAGCAGGTTTCCATAGAGGGAATCCAACATATCTCATCTCAGCTTCTGCTTGAGCCGCCTTCTCTCAGTCAGTGCTTGCATTTCGTTAGAGAGCGTCGCCAACTTCGAAACTGAACCAGCACGTACGCAAGACGTCTTTTGCGGTTCTTTCGCTTGTAGCCTTCTGCTCGGAGGGCTCACCCCGACTCAGTGGAAAAGCTGCATGCTGCACCATACCTAGCACCTCAAGGACTCATCAGTCTAAGTGATGTTGACCCGCCCGCTCGTGTCTAAGCCTTTCACATGTCTGCGGAGGTAGCCCGAGATGGTCTTGCCCAATTTCCTCTGCATAGTCATGGCTGCACATGCTAGTGAATGCCAGATGTTCGATCCTGGCCAGCGTTCCGGCCGCAGTTCCAAACGACCGCAAAGCCGCGCCTTGCGCGGACCTCAGCATCACGATATCAGCCGCTCCTGTGAACCATGCAGCCAAACGCAAAAATGCGAGTTAGAACCAGGAATCAGACTTTCACGCGAATCTTCGGAAAATGCAACTCTCCACCACCTCCATCTGGAATGTCCTCAGTAAGCCGAGAACCGACCGGTTGAAAATACGGCTTTCCCGACAATCATAAGCGACAGAACGTTCAGGAAGAGGTAGACTGCCCGGAAGTTTTCAGCCTGGGTGAAGTTGCATCTGTGCTTGTTCTGCCCGCGTGCTTTGGTGGCCAAGTGGTGCAGCTGAGGACCAGTGCGTGTGCGGTAGTGCTGGGAGCGGTAATGACCGGCGCTCCGGCACTGGCCTCGCAAACTCGCACTCATGCAAAGAAGCTCTCACATCAGTGGCATGACTTGTGAGTGCCTGCTTTGATGGCGCAAGTCGACGAAGCTCCAGCAACCTTATCTATTCGTGTCGCACGTTGGAGTGCGAAATTCACTAGCCACTAGCTGCTTGCCTAAGGTGCATGTTGTGGCATGCTGGGGCCTCCGCTCCAGCTGAGATGCAGATCCTGCAAACAAGAGATTTGAGTTGTGGGTTGTGGGCGTGCCAACATGTGCCCTGGCCTGCAGCTGCTCGCAAGCGTTCTTGCAGGTCTGCGAGGAGCTCTTCCACCTCCCTGATTCAACGGCAGCCAATACCGTCGGACAATTCTGATCCGTTGTCCACTGCCCAGCTCAGAGTCCCACCCATCCGACCCTTGTTCACGCGGGCTGTTCGGCGGAATGCGCCCTTGCTGCTTGTCGACAACATCCATAAGCAGACCTGGCAAGAAGATCGACCGTCCGTGTCATCTGCATGATGCAAGCATAGAACAGACATGTCGGACATACGGGCTTCCCGTCCAGAAACAAGGTCCGGCACGACCCATCTTGGAACGTGTATGCTTTCCGAGAAATGTCGCCCAAATTTGCTACCGCCTAACCCTCTCAGCCTGCTCAGACTCCGACAATGCAGGCTCTTTAGACACTCGAAGCCTTCGAAAGCAACGTCCTCTCAGGACCAGGGCTCAAGTTCATGTCATGCACGACGCCTACTTTCGGAAGACAAGGCAACTTTTTAGTTCACAATAGACACGACACCTTCTGGGCACGGAAAGCTTTGCCAAATGGCACAGTACCGGGACCGGGCTCTACCTTGACTACACCTGCACGCTCAGGAGACCGACAATCTCCAGAAAAGTCAAACACAAGAAATGCAGCTGAGCACTGGTGTCGCACGGATCTGAGAATTTTTTGGGATACATTAGCAATGTAAATTCAAGGCCGTAAACAGAGCTGTCTGCAGATGCAAGCTCACAAAAACGTTTCGACTCTTTAGCAAAGCCCAGGGACGTGCACCCGAATGATGCTACAGCATCCACACTAAGCGTCGGCCGACCGAGAGGGTGCCAGGCATCGGATGGCAACTTGAGAAGAGATCCACGAAAATGAGGGGAAGTCATGCAGCGCTCGTCTTCGCCGAAGGGCTGCCAAAAGTAGCCATGCAAAGCTTTACACTCCAGTCGTACGTGAGGAGCCTCTGTGGCGCCGCTGGAGCCTTAACTATTGGCTAAGGACCTGATGAGGGCCCGAACGCGTTTTCGATACTGCCTACAAGGGGTGAATTGGTCAACTAAAACTACATCCTTTCGTGATGACTGTTCAGGCAAGAGCCGCCTGTACAAAGTTCTTCAGTTCATCGAAATATTAAAGCGACGAAACATGATCTTTCGAATTCTTCGTCTTGGCAGGAGACAGGAGGTCGTCTTTGACGGCCTGGCAACGGTCCCGGCTTGGAGTACACAAGTCAAGGGATATTAGGTTAAAGTACAGATAACAGAGAGATGAAGCGTATTGATTCATGCTTGGGCGTTGGAAAGCCAGATTCACGAAAGTTGACTGAGCGCGGAAAAACCGCGAGCATTGGATATGATCGACCACGGCACACTGGTTGAATGGATCTTGGAGCTATTAGATGCTATTAGTCTATGCATGTCGCCCGTCATTCTCTTTGGAAAACTGACCTTCTTCGCTACATGGAGTTCTTGGACTCGGTTTCCCGTTTAAAATGTCGTGAAGTGCTTGGCGCGTGTGCCAGATATGGGGGCCTAACCCAGACGGGTGCTGAAACATGACTTTGCCACTGAGGAGGTAGTTTCATAAGAAAACGATGCTTCCAAAAAGAAACATCCTTGCCGTTTCAAGGCCTATCCAAGAAGAACATGGAGGTGGCCACAGGGGAGGAAACCCACGATTAAATTGCCCATCATCGGCTCTAGATTCGCGTCTTGTGAAGAGAATAATGATCACAGTGATCATATGATGCGCCTGGGCGAGGTACGCTAAATCTGCAGTTGCACAGGACATTGGCTCAACCATGGCTCCCACCAAGCTATGGATGCATCAAGCAGCAACTGTCCTCCCGGCTTCAGTTGCGGATTCTCGGCCTAGCTTTGTTTCACACATTTTCACACGCAGTCACGACCAGATCACAAGCTCAGCCGGCCAGGGAACCGGCTGGACGCTCCACTGGCTGCTGCAGAAGCAATGGGTCCAGGAAGGTCTCCGGTCCACTGCCTTAGTTTTGAAGCGACGCCACGTAGAGTCATAGTGGCCGACAGTCTGACGAGACTGCCTACCATTCAAAGCAGATGACTTTCTTCACCGTTGATGCGAGGATTCGCAGGCACAGGGTCTGAGCCTTTCGACGCAAACAGAGCTCAGGTGAATCTGGTGAAGCCGTGCAGTCTGGCAGTCCTTCGCAAACGAATCGCCGCATAGGCTTGTCATTGAAGAAACAGTTGATGCCTGAGACTCTGGATCTGGCTTCTTACGCTTCCTGTGCTTCCGGCAAACGTACGTTTGGAGAAATTCGATTCAACAAGTCAGAGTCTGGCCGTACTTCGTACCGGTTGTTGGTGGCAGCCCCTGGTGCACCTGCAGTCACTGCGGTCTGCTTGGGCAGTGCTTCACGCCTGCATTATGAAATGCATTGTGCTTCTTTTCGTCACACGTCAGTCACCGTAGAAACATCGGGTTGAAACTTGCTAAACCCAATTGCAGCTAGAAACAAAGAAGCCGAATTCTCGCTGCAGCAAAGGTGGTGCACGAAAGACGTATTGTCTATGGCAGGCTTTGCACCTTCGCCCTCACAGCGGCCACTGTCACCATTTCATGTTGCGAAGTAGCTATGAATGCAGAATGACATGCGCAAAGGCTCGTCAGCGGCATGTCGAAACTCCCTTTGAATTACGGATCTCTCCAAGAGTGGCTCCACACAAGCCATGCCCACCCTCACGGCTACCACACGATACCTGATGAGCATTCATCCCAGTGCCACGAAAAGGGTTGATGTTGCTTGCCTTGTCATCGAACATGTAGACTTCTGCCTTGGCAACACCCAGCTCGGAAGCCAGCCGCGCTGCATGGCGTGCTTTGCAACCTCCATTGCAGCCAACCACAGATTCTGAGACCGGCAGATTGGGCCGACGATGCGGATGAGCGGTGATGGCCCTCACATGGCAACCGCCACAGAATGTTTGCCATAAGTTCTGGCCCAACTGTGAAAGCGTCAATGATCCACCCCCATATGCATCGTCATAACTTCCATGAACAACCCTGTTTCCTGGGCAGCTGTGTGTATCACCTTGTCTTCCAGTCAGCGTCCTGGCAGGCTCGGGGTCAAAGGAATGCCACGGCTTTCGGGCGACAGAATGGGCTTTGGGCTGGGTTTAGTCAGGGTTCCCACCGTCCCCAGCATCCCCATCCTGTCAACATCGAAAATGCAGAGGCAGGACCTGCGCTTGATGCCATCACCAGTGTCGTTGCGGTTGCTGTCAGAGGAGTTGCCGAACATGCTCTTCCAAGTAGATTTGAAGAAGTCGAAGCTGGTTCTGACATACTCCGTAAAGTTTGCAACCTCGACAACCGGCTGGGTCCAGCTCACGTTACCTCAGCAACTGTTGCCATGCTTTGAATGTGGTACAAAAACAACACATGTTTTTGAAATTGGCATTTTTTTGCCAAGCACTGCGTAACTACCGGTATAGTTCAAGGGCCCTAAACCGCAACGGTATGTACATGATGTTCTCAAGACCAAGGTTTCAACGCTCAGAGAAACAGACAGTGGTTCACAATCAACCTGTTCTCGTGTCTTGAACGTACAAAATGCTGTAAAGGCTACAACATCATGTACTACTCAACCACAACACAAATGGTATGATATTCCAACTTGGTAGCATCATCTTGCAAGTGGTGTTTGTTACGCGACCGATGCGATCCATGCATGTGCTGTACGGTCGTCTAACTCAGTGCCTGCGATGCTACAACTTAGCCCTACTGATCTTGTACACACCAGATTTGATCAATCGGACGATAATGTCCGGTTTCATTGGCTGCGTGAAACAGTCAGCGGCTTGCGTAGACTTGTCGATCCAAGCAACCTCTCCACTAAGGCGCTTAGCTCGATTTGTAGTCGCTTATCTTGAACCTGCGCGAGCGCATCGGAGTTCAGATGGTCGGCTAAGCTCTTACAATCTGTGGGGCTGATGTGGGGTGAATTGATTCGCAAGAGCCTCCGATTCGGTCCCTTAGGATCCGAATCCGTTGGTTCTAGCACAACCTCTCCCACGAGTCGCTCGACTAGCCGACGAGCTCCTTCGATCCGTCACCTGCAAGCCTTACACCCTGAGCCGGTACCGACAAAAGCATAGTCTTCCTGGACTTTAAGGCTGCAAGCCGATGTTTGCAGGCTGACATGCCAGGTGGTGTGGCAAGCATTTGGCTCTGCGAGGCTCAGACTTCAAGCTTTTCTCGAATGGCAAAGCACGTAGGCACAAGAGAAAAACACGGCGTCTGTGGGCCTAAGCAAAAATTGCCGAAACCTTCAGCACACACACCCTCGAAACCCCAATCTTCAAATCTGTAAGCAGGAATGCGACACCCGAACCTAAATTAAAGCAGTCATGAAGCCAAACACTCGACCTACCACTACCAAGGTCCAAGAATTCCTTCCGAGTCTACAAGAACACCAAACGCCGAATCGCTGTCTTGCTGTCGCACATCACATCGATGCTGGAGGTTCAAAAATTGTTGAATTCTTGTAAGCTGAGCTTGAGGGGATTTGGAGATTCGGGGGTTGAGAGGACTATTGCTTGAGAAAGTTACGGCTTTGAGCACTTTGAAGTTCCGTGACCGCTCCCGAGGGAGTTGCTACTAATGAGGAACCTCCAACACCAACATAGAGCCTACGTAGCAGTATCACATATACATATAATCATACCTATATATATATATATACATATGTATGTGTATGTATATATAAATTAATTAACTGATTGATTGATTAATGAAATAAATAAATAAATAATTGTGTAATTGGTTTAATTAGTTTAATTAACAAATTTAATTAAAGAAAAATACATAAAATTAATCAATTCATTCATTCATTACTTTATGAACTAATACCTGGATCCAGCGCACGCGCGGCGGGGGTTGCGGTCCTACTGCGAGACTTAAGCTTAGGGTTTCGGAGCTCTCCTTAACGCACGTAGCTCACCCTAAGAAGCACTACTAGGCGCTGGGGTTATCTCACATCAGCTGGTGAGAATACACATCAATGCCGGCAGACGCTGGTTTAGGGAGAACACAAATCACAACTAGCTAAACCGCATGTAGACGCTGGTTTCAAGAACCCCGCAGCAGATGCGCCAAAGTCCGGGGTTTGTTGCGGACGCTGAGGTATATACTACATTTGGAAGCATTCCAAGATAAGAAACCAGCGTGTTTGCCATGTAGACGCTGGGATTTGGAGTATTGGACACCAACAGATGCGAGAACGTGCTGCAGACGCCGAAAAATCCGAAGTAGACGCCTTGCAGATGCGTAAAACACCCAGTTGATACGAGATAGCCCCGGGACCAAGTAAGTTTAATGAGTAGTAGGCCTGTTTCTGCGCACCGGGCTATGGGGATCAGATCACACTCCTTGAGGCGTCAGCTTCGGCGACTTCACACGTGCACTCCTTCATGTTCTTCATGAGGCCTGACGTGCTTTGTGCCAACAGGCTAAGGAGAAGGTGGCTCCGAGCCTGGTGTCTGTCTCGTGGCTCTCTAACACTCCACCCATGGTAGTGTCTCCCTTCTCTATGCTGCAAGTCAGCCTACGCTTGCCTAAGCTGCTTGTGAGGTTGCAGAAAACGACTTGCCCAAAGAAAAACTCGGGCCTAGGATGCATGGAGTCGGGCCTCTGCTAACCTTCCCCAGGTTGCGCTATGGCATGTAGAGTTACACCACTCATCTAGTGCACCCCATACATAAGCCTCCTCTGGGTCCCACATGTCTATGGGTACCACGTCTAAGCGCACGGTCCCTGCACCAGCTATATTGCTGGGGCCTTTGGACCTGGTTTTGGGCCCAGGCCTCGGCTCGGGAGAGGCAGGTTTTGCGAACGGCTTTGCAGGGCCACAGGGGTCGGACCCCCCAGAAGGTCCTACACCGCTTTTTTGGATTAGCCGACCAAAGCTTTTTGTATCGGCTCAAAACCCTTCCCCTGACCCATGCCACCCGAAGTTGTCGATGGAATGTCCTGGCGACGCGGGGGCCACGCTCGGTAATGGGTCTAGGGGGCCTATCGAACCTATCAGGGCAAAAATTTCCGGGCAATTATGGGTCCAGAGGTGATCCTTTTCAACGACAAACCCAAAGCTAGATATATCTATTCCATCCTGGCTGGAACCAGAGCTAGAGCTAGGGTTAGGGTCTGTGTTTTGTGGCTCGCGGCGGAAGTCTTTTGAGGGTTCCTCCTCTCAGATTCAGGTTCGCTAGGCGATGCCAGACCGGCATTCCATGCGTTCTGGGCGCGCTGGAGTTCCAGTCGCTGGTTCCTTTTCCCTTGCCTCGGGAATAGCCTTTGCCACTCAAGCCTTGCCTTGGCCCTTTTCCGTTGCGGCGATGGTCTTGGTAAGATCCATCAGGATCCGTCTACGGTGCCTCGCGTAGGTGCACACACCCTAAACCCTAACCCTAAAGCCTAAGGTTACTGCTCCGCAAGGGCAGCACACACGGACTCGAAATTGCGGCTGTCACCCGTGCACGCCTTGATGACCCGGGCTTCCTGGATAGCTCTGACAACTCAAAATGAAGCTCCACACGCATCGGCCCACAGAGCTCGATGATGATATCCAAGGAACGAAGCAGCTTGCGGCGACGGCTGATGTATGACAACATGCTCTCGCCGCCTTGGCGTGCGAGCAGGCTTTGCCTCTGGCCCGCACGAAAGAGCTGACGAGCTTCTTCCGCGTCGCGGGGAAACACAATGCGACGTATCTTGTCTATGAAGGCACGGAGCCCCCCAGGTGCAGTAAGGGTCTCTTTGCCGAAATCCCGTGCGAGCATGTGCGAGCTCGAAGCCTTCCTCGCGAAGTCCTTCTGGGATGCGATGGACCATTTCACTACTCGCTTTCACAGCATAAGCAGTGGTCTCATCCATGGGTAGCCCGATTCATCCGACTTCGGGCTTGTATGCTGCGGCCTCGTGGGAGGTTTGCTGCCTTCTGCATGTGCCTCAGTAGCGGGCCCCCCTCCGGGTACGGGTGCGGTTGCTGCAGCCTCGACCTCACTCTCGGCATCATCCAGGTCGACACTCTTGCCGCCTCTCTTTGCCGACCGATGTCGATCGCGTCTTGGCGCGCATCGCATCCTCATAGAGCTTCAGCAAAATCGAGGTCCGAAAAATTCCCAGTCATGGAATGTACGGGGATTTCCGTCGTATATGTACGACCCACTACGGGTCTCCAAAGGAGTACCCGAACTAGCACCACGGGAGTAACGTAGGCCAGCTACGCTCATTGTCAGGGTTGATCAATGAATGCAAGAACACAGCAAAAAAAAAACGCAGTGGAGCGATATCGGGCTCGCCCAGGCCGTACGATCCTATGGTACTAAGACCCTCTTGGCTGGTCCCACCGAGGGATACCAGCTCCGCTACCAATTTTGAAATTGGCGGTCTTCTGCCAAGCACTGCGTAAACTACCGGTATAGCTCAACGGCCCTGAACAGCAGCGGTATGTACATGATGTTCTCAAGACCAAGGCTTCAAAACCCAGAGAAACAGACAGTATTCACAACATGCAATCTGCAGCATCAGACTTGTATGATCTTATGTAACACCTGCAGCATGGTTACGTCCGGTCAGTGACAAAGCAGCTTCGGAACTGGTGTTGGAGCTGTTCCCTTTCGCCTGCACGCAGCTTTAATGAGTGGCTCGTCCACAGACAGACCATTGAACCGGAGGGAAAAGAGAATCTGTCACACCATTCTCGGAAACTGCAGCGACCGCTTTTTCCCAGTTTTTCTAAATGTCTGACTGCCCGGACGCTGTGAGATCACTCAGTGTGGCACGGCCTTAATGCTTCCCTCATTGACGCAAGAACACTGTGGTCTAACTTGAGGTCCTGTGATACAGCCGGAGTCTCTTCCTGGCTGCATTGCCTTCAAACTGCGGTGCAACATTGCTGCCTGGTTTCGTCAAGACTTCTGCACTGCAGATAGTTTCACGAAGTGTCATCCACATCCGGACGAGCCGCAGCACCGATCTTAACGGCGACTTACCAGCCCTGCTGATGCAGGCGAAGTGTTCGGAAGAATCAGAGATTTTGAGAGTCCTTCAGCAGAGGCAACACTGCATGTAACGTGCATGCTGGTTAGAAAGCGATCCATCAGCTCAAACACTAAACTGATGGGGATGCCATGTTTGTTTGGGCCGACTTGAGGCCGGGCCACCACGTACGACGACTGATGCACGACAGTAAGTCCGTCCCCGAAGCCATGAAGCCCAAGTACATCTTTTCCGAAAGAACAATCACGAAACTTGCGCGGGCGGCGACCTTTGAGACAAGGATAAATTGGTTGCCTCGTCGCCTCTCAGATTCCTGTCCTTAGCAGAGCATGCAAAGACGCGACAACAAGGGAAAGTTCCCAAGAGTCTCGGATAGCTACGATCTGCCAAAACATGCGACGTGGGAATTCTACCGGAAACGCTCCGAATCTGGACCTCAGGCGAAGGCAAATGCAGATCCCACCACAGCCACAGCCGCAAGAATGGTGAGGAGCAGAGCCATCTTTGGATCCTGGGGATGTTGATGGATGGAAAAGCGACTTCGACATCAGCATTCATGACCCGACCTTGCCCCAGAATTGCAAAGGTCACCTCAGGTGCCCTAGTGGCACCTTTGCTGTACAGCGGTTTGGAGCCAAAGACCACTCCAATTGGACAGAGAATCGCGTTCGAGCTGCGTGCAAGCAGATGCGCATAGATGCAAGCAGTGCATCGAGCTTGGCATTCGAGGCGGCGCACCATTCGCTTGTCCTCTTGTTGAGGACCCAGCACATTGCTCCACATGACCTCACGGAGCATCGCTTCGGGACACGAGACGACGAAGTTTGGAGGAACTCGACATACTCGCTTCCTCTTGGGACCCCGAGCTGCGCAGCCCCGGCGAGGCACGATCTGATTCAAACTTGTACTGCATCGAACAGTGGGAGAGTGCTCTTTGAAAGGTGGCAGGCCTTCAGCCGCAGCTCCGGAAACATCGTCTCACCGCCGTCGCCGGGTCTCAGGATGCCAGGATTCTGGCAAGATTAGTGCCAACTCAAGTCTGCACCAAGCCGCGCGATGTCATTCAGATAAACGAAGATTGTCTTCGGACCTTACCATCGTGTGCATCACAGGCCCGTGTGGGCCCGCATGAAAGAGTTCAGGGTTCGACGAAACCGTCCATCATGATGCTGGTTGAAATACTGCCCCGGCAAATACCTCATAAACATGCAGCACGCTGCAGAAGGATTACAGTCATTCATAAAGATTCTGTGGTGTCGTCAAGGACCCCACCTGACCATGTTGAGGGGCTCCAAGAACTTGATGTCCATGCCCTAGGCAGCCCAGGCCCTAGGTGAACCGCTTGCGATCCTTGCATGCAGATTTGTGTTAGTGTAGACAGGCTGCACGTTTCTGAGGAGCCCTCCGCGAGAGCAGCAAGCCGATTTTCGATCTCAGGGTGGGCGAGGAGTTTCGACATCCCCGACCAGGCAAGTGGCACGTTCGTCTAGGGGCTCGCACCAGGCACCGTACCACTGCTCTTCTTGTGTAGCAAAGTTGCTGACTCTGACATTCTGAGGCCACGGCCGCTGTGATGATTTCACTCTGCCCTGGTTCTATAAGGCAAGAGTAAGACGTTCGTATCTCAGAGACCTGGTTCGCCTAAGCCACCACGTGCGTCGCCATGAAACAAGCACCCACTCACACTCCCAAGGTCGTCACCAAATCCTGCCCTTCGTCCTTTGTACGATAGACTCCTTGTCCCACCTCTTCAAGGGCAGAACACAACATGCGCATGTCTGCGTAGCTGGGCTGAACATCGAGAACAGACAGTGATCACAGCCTCTGAAGGTTCCCAGCCTCGGGGAATCGAAAGCAACTGAGACAAGATCTTGTCGCAGACATGTCCCCGTCAAACAGGACATGACCACCGTCATCCACAAGACGTCAGCTTAGCAAGCGACCAGATTCGGCAAAGTCGATCAAATGTTGCATCTCGGCCTCAGAAAAGCCCAAAAACAACCTTGCTGCCAAGCACGATGCCGTTGAAGAACTGCCTGCCAACACAGTCAGCTCGACAGATCCTAGGAATGGAAGGCACTTTCGGACTGACCAGATAAAGCAAACCTTGTCTCCAAAGCGACGCCATGTGCATGATGTTCAATGTTCGGACAAAGTCGTTTCTTTTGCCCTGCAGGACATCGAGACAAGCAAGCGATGAGATGAAAACACTACGGTTTGACAGATGGAAGGATGATTCTTGCATTTGATTCAAGCACATTTCCGGAAGCTCACGAACTACTCTGGGGTGAGGTTTGTTTCAGGTCTCTGAACTACCCAGAGTAAGAACAATTCTGTCAATCCAATACGCTACGAAACGTGAGCCGCAGCGATTGTAAACAATCTTTTGCCAAGGACGGATTCGTCCACGTCACGGTAGCAACACGCGTTTGCATGATCCGGCAACTTCAGCATCCTGCAGAAACCGAGCACTCCACAAAGTTGAGCGGTTTTCGCATCAAGCGCACACCAAGCTGAGGAACACGCTGCATCCAAGAAGTCTCGCACCAGAAGCACCTGCGAGAAACCATATAGCAAGTCAACCTGAAACAAAAAAAGGTGAGCCTCGGGATCTCCGAATATGTTCATCGCTGTCAAAACTCGGCGACAATCGACCTCGTTCCACATGACGTGTGGAAGCAGGGATGAATTACGCAAGCCTCACAGCTGACGCAATTTGAGGCGAAAGCACTGTTGCCGACGGTTGTTTCACGACTTTCTGGTTCAATCTAGCAGTGCATCAAAGGAAATGCAGCACTACATGTTTATTCATCTCGCCCACCTCGATGGGATCGACGACCATCTCTTCTTGATCTTTGTGGCATTCTATCTCACATCCACCCTACCATTGCAACAAGTGTCTGAATATCGTCGCGAACGTGTGGGACCAAGGCCTGCATTGCTCTCCATCGATGTGGTGACAACTGCAGCTACGGCTACGCCTTCTCAGCAAGGGGACATTCACCCCATTGCCTACACGAGGACATTGGTATCAACAAAAAACAATGGCATGACCCCAAATCACACACTTCGCCAGGTTAACAACCTGCACTGCATGTCATTCGAACCCTATGAAACTGGACACTAATCTTTGAGCAACTGTACAAATTAGAACCTTCGCAACTACACTTGAAACCTCACTGTTTGCATTCGGATCTTGCTACGATGAGTAAACAGGAACAAATTGTCCAAATCGATGCTGAATTCGTTGTATCTGAGCCGAAATGCGGTAACTTGAATGTGAAGAATCGACAGCGTCGACCTTTTCAAGAGTGTCGATCCTTCCCTGAAAGTAGGCCCTTCGAAGGCAGCGATCACTTCATGTCGATCCTATCTCGATCCTTTCAAGGGTGTGGACACTTTTTAAGGGGTCCCCTTTGACGATCCCTTCAAAGGTGTCCATGCTCTCTTGGTGTCTTGTGACGGAACGATGGAGTGAACCTGCACTGAAAGCATACTTTTTCCAAACTGGTAGATCGCATAGGGTTCCGGTCTTGTTCCAACGTCCAAGTACGTGCGCTCCTTCGTCTCCTTTTGTACTTCCTGTTTCGCTTCCTTTGTTGCTTGCCAGCTTCTTTTAGCTCGGCAATTGTTTGCTTGACTTCCTGCTTTTCTTGAGCATCTTTGCCATCATCCTTCAAGCCGAAACTTATGCTGGAATCGCACCACCATGATGCTCCAATGTGATTTCTCATTTCTGTGTTTGAAGCACACGACCGCAATCCTTCTGGGGCTATGTTCCGCTGACAAAGTCCAAGAGTGCGAATTGGCGAAAAGTCCAGTCGGTTCCATGCCAGATTCAGCTCGGATGGGTCGGCAGAGTGATGCTCGCTTGGATTCGTACGGGACCAGACGGGACGGACGGAAGTTGGAACAGATATCCATTCGAAAGTAAAGTTACAGCAGAGGCCTGAGTGTGGGACTTCCCACAAAAGAAATGTGCCTGGTGGTTTGAAACGGAACCTCAAACCAGAAGAATGAGAAGAACGGATGTCGCAAAAACAGGGCACCACTGCTGACACCAGGTGCTAAACTCCAAGTCAAGCGGGTTGGCTGGCATACAGAACGTTTCAACCATGGAATACTATACGTTAAGCTGATGGGTATGATGCGCAAAACCAAACGGAGGATGCAAAGTGCAAATGGCAGCAACAGAGTCTGTGGATGACACAACACGTCTTTGTCGCCAAACAAATGAAAGACGAGATAGTCTCCGACACCAAATAGAAAAAGTGAAAGCCAGGATTGGGCATAACAAGCGATCAAGCTCGAAACTCCAGCTTCAAGAAAAAAATTTTTGAAGCGGTTAGGCGGGTCCAAACAACGCGATCAGAGTCCGGCACACGCACTTGCCACTACACGTTGTTCGCTCGGACCGTTTGGAGGTCCTGCTGCAAGCAGAGAGCAATCAGTCTGCAGGCTTCTGAACAATGAAGTCCAGAAAGACTCTCTCCTTCTTGCGCGTTTTGGCAAGTTTCAGGCCGAGATCCGGCGAAGGACTTCACAATCAAATACCCGAGAGGCTTTACAAGAAAACAATCAAACAAGCGGATGCTAAAGAAAAAGGAACGATGCAAAACTTTCCACTAACCGTGCTTGCTATGGCGACCATCCCGGAAGAATTGAAGCATGAAGTTGTTCCGAAGAAGGGAAAGCTTGAGACATGTTTGTACATCCTCCTCTCCCTGCTCAGCACTTCGTTTTCTCCCCCGCTGCTCGGTACACAAGTACACACAGCTAAGCATGCCCAGACTGTCGTTTGCAGAGCTCGATGCAGGGCTCACTGCCAAAGCATCGAATAAAAGCTGCAAAAAGTCGGAAAGGCATGACACCGCTCATGTGGAGGCACCGGCCGTAAAGAAAGGTACGGCGTGTACGTGACCTTTGTGCCGAAGCGCGGTAGCAGCGTAGGGGTCGCGTCAAAAGCTAAGCACCACGAAAGGAAAAAGCTCTGCCACCTGACGAAGGCGGATCCGTGAGTCAGCTCCCGCGTCCAGCAGCGCGTTGAGGGCGGCGACTTCCTGGAGGTAGTGCACCAACGTATGTTGATGCTTTAGCCGCATCCTCCATTGGATGTCGGCTATAGCGGTCCCGTGGTGGTACGCCCAAACCGCACCACCACCGCGCAAGCCGCCAGGCGTCAGCTCGCATTGGCCCAAACCCAGCGCAGTGAGGAGCATGTCCCAGCGTCGCCTGTAGGTCGCTGGCCCAAAAGGATAGACCGGCTCCTCCCACGCCAGTCCATGGACCCCAGCAGTGATGAGCTCGACGGCCGCGGGGAAGTCGACACGAAGGTGTTGCGTCCGTGGCCCGCCTCTCCCAGCTGTCTTTGGCCCATCCAG